GTTTTTGGTAACATACTTGTACTTTTACTCAAGTATCACTTTGTGGTACTTTATACAACACTGGCAACATTCAGCTGATGTTCAGTTATTTTACATCCAAATGTTCGGCTCGTTCTTTAGCTAACTTGACCTTTTTTTGGGTTTGGGTTCAAATCTGACTTGGCTCAATAACTTGTCGGTCAGGGAGCGACAGACACCAGTTTGTTCCAGCTTTAAATGTAAAGGTTCTGTCTCTTCGGCTGATGTTCGGCTGATGTTGTCTCTTCAGGTTCTCGGCCGGGTCCTGCTGCTCCAGCTGATCGAGGAGCTGGTCCGTGGTTACCGCAGCAGTGAGACCTGGTCCCTGCAGCTCCTGCACAGCACTCGCATCCACATCCTGCCAACCATGAACCCTGATGGCTTCGACAACGCCGACAACAACTGTGTTTACGTCCAGGGCAGGTACGCATACTTGTACTACGAATAGTACTGGGTACACAAGTACAGAGTGTACTCAGAGTACKTTTTATGATTGTTTAAAAACGTTCAGTCCACTTAATTTGTATCTAACTCTGAAAATTTAGATTTTAGTCTTTAAGTTTTAGTGTTTTTCTGGTCTTCTGCTGTAGGAGAGAACAGGCGAACCTTCGGCTGCTGGTAACAAAAAGCTGAACGTTTGTTTTGTAAATATTGAAGTGAAGCTCTCCGACGCCTCAGAACAGGGTAATTAGCAGGAAACCAAAGCCCGGCTGCAGATCTGTGTCACAGTTCAGTCTGTAATCATGTTTGGACTCGGTTTCCTGGAGACGGTTCTGGGTTTTGATCTGGATCAGAACATCTGTTCACATGACCTCATCAGGACCCAGTGGGCGTGGCTCCACTGGGTTTACGTTTGGGTCGGGGTAAAAACACAGTGTGCTCGCTTTAGGGTCATTTTCCACACCTTATATGGAATGGTTCCTCTGCAGCAGGAAGTGGAATAGTTCCTCTACAGCAGGAAGTGGAATGGTTCCTCTACAGCAGGAAGTGGAATGGTTCCTCTACAGCAGGAAGTGGAATGGTTCCTCTGCAGGAGGAAGTGGAATGGTTCCTCTGCAGCAGGAAGTGGAATGGTTCCTCTGCAGCAGGAAGTGGAATGGTTCTGGGTTTAAAGCCCTGAAGAACCGAGGAACCAGAGATGCGTCTCCTTGGACCAGGAGGAGGTTTCATCATGTTTTTATTTATTCAGCTTTAAACCTTTAATTTAACTCCTCCCTCCGGCTCTGCTTCACCTCCTCCTCTTTACTTTAGGATTGCAGGTCTTATTCCAGGCATTAATCTGGATTTAAACAGATTTATAATCTGCTGCAGGTTAGAAAACTGAAGCTGTGAAACAGAACAGACGTTCTTGTTCCAAGAACCAAACAAGAATCTAAACATGGATCAGTTTTACCTGTTGAAACGCTGCTGGTTCGGTTCTGTTGGATTAACGGATCTGTGGTTTTGGTTCTGTCTCTTTCAGGTTCAACTCCAATGGAGCGGATCTGAACCGAGGTTTTCCTGACACCTTCGCTGGTCTCCGTCAGCAGCCCAATGTGAACGAGCAGAAGATGGAACCTGAGGTCAGTCAGCTTGTTCCTCCAAGCCTGTTGTTAGGCGATGGTCCTCTTTTGCATCTGACTAACCTGTTTGTCCAGGTGGAGGTGGAGCTTATAAGGCTGAGTTCACCTGAAACTCATCAGACTGAAGAAGTCTCTTAGAGGAGAGACGAAACTTTTCACTAAAGAAGAACCATCCAGAGGACCTACTGATTTTTTCTTTTTGAATATATTAATCATTGCAGCTGAAATATTTTCAACCACATTTCTGTAATCCTCAGAGCTACAAATTATGTTATATTTAATACTAAATTCCTCATATTTTGATAAATCCACTTTATCATTTATCAAATGAAGAATGGCCCAAATTAGTTTTTTTATGATCCATCCTTCCATGAATATTGATTTTCTTCTTCTGCAGTCTGCATTTTAATTCCAGACGTCACATGCAGCAATGAATTGTGGGTAATACACTTCACTGAAGTCTGCATTTTTGCGGACTTCACAGAAGGGTGGAAATAGTACGCAAAATGGGCGGGGCGAAGGGCGGATGTGGAGAATGTGGGACACAGACGCACTCAAACCCTGAACATGAACACACATTTAAACGAGGGTGGGAGTGTGGGTACTGGGACAGGGCCTTCCTGTGCAGACTGAGGCACTTCCTGTGCAGACTGAGGCACTTCCTGTGCAGACTGAGGCACTTCCTGTGCAGACTGAGGCACTTCCTGTGCAGAGTGGGGCACTTCCTGTGCAGACTGAGGCACTTCCTGTGCAGACTGAGGCACTGGTTTATAATCTGAATCAGGAGCTGAAAAGTGTCTCTGGTGTCATTTCTGATAATCCTGATTCTGCTCTTCGGTCCTGCAGCTAATATTTAAAACCGATGAACCTGTTTTTATCCAAAAACCTTCAGAATAAATGAAGCTGCAGCTGAAATTAGCCCTGAAAGTTAATCTGTAAATAAATAATCAGATTATTGTTTGTGTTTCAGGTGAGAGCTGTAGTGGACTGGTTGAAGAGCGAGACGTTCGTTCTCTCTGCCAACCTTCACGGAGGAGCTCTGGTGGCCAGTTATCCTTACGACAACAGCAACGGAGGTGAGGGGAGGGAGGCGGGGCTTAATCAGAGTGAAGAGGCGGGGCTTAATCAGAGTGAAGAGGCGGGGCTTAATCAGAGTGAAGAGGCGGAGCTTAATCAGAGTGAAAGGAAATTTAAAAACAGCTTTTTGTTCTCAGTAAAGTTGGACTTGTTTGAGTTGCTCCGCCCCCTGCTGGCAGCTTCAACACCTGCACACAGCAGGTAACCAGCCCCTCTTTCCACAGGTCCTGAGCTGGTGGGCGGGGCCAGTGTCACTCCTGATAATGACGTGTTCCTTCACCTGGCCAAAGTGTACTCCTCCAGCCACGCCCACATGTCCAAGGGGAACCAGTGTGAGGACGTCAGCCCGTTCCAGGACGGCGTCACCAACGGGTACCAGTGGTACCCTCTGGAAGGTGAGCAGGACTGGACCTGTGTTCCTCAGAGTCCTTCCAGGACCTCCTGACCTGGGTCTGTTGCAGGTGGGATGCAGGACTTTAACTACGTGTGGGCTCAGTGCCTGGAGCTGACTCTGGAACTGTCCTGCTGCAAGTTCCCTCCCCCTGAAGACCTCCCCGCTCTGTGGACGGACAACAAGCAGGCCCTGCTGGCCTACATCCAGCAGGTCCACCTGGGTCAGAACCGCTCTGCGAGTCCACCTGTTGCTCCRGGGTTTACCTGCTGGGCGGTTCCTGATTCTGGTCTCTGATTCCAGGAGTTAAGGGTCGAGTGTTTGATGCTGCCGGCGTGCCGGTGCAGGGCGCACTGGTGGAGGTCCGAGGTCGTCAGAACCTGTGTCCCTTCAGAACCAACCGGTTTGGAGAGTATTACAGACTGCTGCTGCCGGGGAACTACAGCTTCACTGTGAGGACACACAAGTCTGCTGAACACCTGTTATTCTGACTTTTATTCTTTAAAAGTAAAAACAGTGAAGTTATTAAATAACAACACAATTAGCAGCTAAAGCTTTATTAGCTTTACGCTAACTCAAGCTGAAGCTTCAGTAGATTTTAGCTGAATGTTTCTGTGGTTCTGATTATTCCCTAAAAATGACGATGAACTTCTGAAATAATAATAATCATAATAATAATTAAATCAGTCATGAATCTGCTGCTAATGCTAACTAGCAGTAGGCTAGTTGGGAAGCTAAAGGTATTTTTAGTTGCTTTAATC